TTCTTCTTTTTCTTCTTTTTTAAAAAAAAATGATATTTATTGAAAATTTTTTAAATTACAGAAAAAAACACAGCAGAAAAAGAAAAAAGAGAAAACAAAGAGAAAACAAACCACATCCAACAATGCAGATTCAAAAAACAAAAATACACCACAAACAGATAAAAACAAATCCATCATTCTCGAATCCTCAACTTTCATTACCTTCTTTCTTTGACCTTTAATGCTGGATTGTGCCTAATGTGTCAAAAAGTTTGTTGCCAGTGCATATTCTGTAGTGAAAGATGAAGACTAATTTTGAAAGAAACTTTTATGGCATTGTTTAGTGGACTGAATGCTTGATTTTCTGTCTTCTGGGGGAAAGCATTCAGCAAATTCAGTATAGCAGTTTAGTAGTCCTGCTGATTTTGTAGAACAAGAAGCAGAAGAGCATCACACTCTCCAAGAAAGATGACTGAAAACCATCTACCTCTGCTGTTTAACAGGTCATCACATGCTAGTTTTTTATAATGCTTGTTCTGAGCTTGACAACTGATTGTCACACATGAGCTCATAAGCTGCCATTGAAAGTTACCCACCTGCAGTAGTGACATGCATGGTGGTGGGAAGCTGGTGAATTCACCCCCACCCCCTTACACTGTTGCCTACCTGGATGGGGCAGCAGTGAGGCTGGAGTCATGTGCTTTTAACTGTGGGAACATCTAGCACGGCTGCTGGTGCACCTGCCCAGCCCCAACCACACAGTTGTGTCAGCCCAGCCCTGACCAGGTAAGTCCCAGCAACAACACTAGTGTTGGAGGGTGGCTCCACAGCTCCACCCCATTGCATGTGCCACTAATCTCTTCCTGTTTCTTTTTATCTATGTAATGAGATGTGGTGTAGTAATAATAATTGGCTTTAATAGCATTCGTCTTGGCTTTATTGTCTTCTAGGCACAATGTGAGCAATAAATGAAGGTGGACATGGCCTTCTTTGCACTTTACAGTCATACATGGTGTTTATAGAGCACCTTAGTGTAGAAAATGGTTGATATACATTCCCTTCTAACTCTTCAATAACCCAGAAAGATAGATCAGCATTATTTTCCTCATGTTGTGGATGAGATGGAGAGAGGATGCATTTAGATGTGGCAAGTATTGCATTAGTTTTCCTGACTAGAACGCTAGTGCTTCTATTCTGTTTTCCAGTGATCCTTTCACACTGCAGTACCAGTTGTGTTATGTGTTTATTTTTTGACCAATATATCAGCATATCAATATATGAGCAATATATCGTGTTCCACTAAATTTCATTCACACCAGTGTGCGTGGAGTGACGCAACAATGAACATCATTGGATAACAATGCCACTATTCCACCCATAGCTGTGCATGTATTCATTCCCCCATGTATACGGCCCCAAATTTCATCACTTTACTCCTGCTATTTTCCGGTTTAAGGGAGCAGCAAATGGATTTTTTCTGCTATTAAATAACATGGAAATGAAGTGGCTTTCATGCCATGTGAAAACTTGAATATAATGCAGAAATTTATAGTTAGGAAAACATCAGGGAAATGGAGGACACTGCTGTGTGAACTCAACCAGAGAGAGAGGAGGAAGGGAGTCTTGCCCAAGGACAACTAATGAGCTCATGGTTGAAGTTTGATTTGAACTGGGGCATTCCTGATATGCATCTCCTACCCAGTACAGCCTTATTTGAACAATCTCCTCAAGTGTAAGCAAAGAAAACATGATGGTGCAAAGTTCTAAATCATGGGTGGGGCCCCTACAAGTAGAGTAAGCTCCCCACCTCAGACCTTGGTCCTCAAATTCATGGAGGGATCTAGATTGTGTACAGATGAAATGCTGGACAGGAAGGGACTAAGAAGAACTGCATATTTCTCCTCAGGTGTTTGCTCATGTATGGACAGTGTATGCCCAAATAGGGCTTATGTGTTGTTGTTGTTTAGTCGTTTAGTCGTGTCCGACTCTTCGTGACCCCATGGACCAGAGCACACCAGGCACTTCCGTCTTCCACTGCCTCCCGCAGTTTGGTCAGACTCATGTTTGTAGCTTCGAGAACACCATCCAACCATCTCATCCTCTGTCGTCCCCTTCTCCTTGTGTCCTCAATCTTTCCCAACATCAGGGTCTTTTCCAGGGAGTCTTCTCTTCTCATGAGGTGGCCAAAGTATTGGAGTCTCAGCTTCAGGATCTGTCCTTCCAGTGAGCACTCAGGGCTGATTTCCTGAAGAATGGATACGTTTGATCTTATTGCAGTAGGCCTTATGTAACACGTACCAAAAAATAAAAATTCAGTTTGAAGATGAACAGCCTAGAGATGTGAATGAACAAATAGGAGCTGAGAGGAGTGAAGTGCTAGATGTACTGGTGGTTTACTAGTGTTGTTTCTACATCAAGAAAAAATCTATTGAATATTCCCTTAGAAAAGCGAGCAGAAAACATTGCTGAGAAAGATCCATAACATTTATTCCAGAAATTCCAGTAATGGGGCAGGGCAGGAACCCTAAACACACTTGTCTTTCCTGCTCCTTTTCAATTTGATTACAGCAACAAAAGTCGTCACTCTTATTTATCCTTAGTGGGTAAATTCTAAGGAAAAAGAATAGTTATCCTAGCTATATCTGAAGTTTTTGCAGTTTGCACTTGATCCTCTGGGTGTCACTGTTGACCAGAACGGAGCAGAAATGTGAAATCCTGCCCAATTGAAGTTGCCTTTCAACACAAAATATCTGAAGGAACAAGCTACTTGTCTGTGTAAAGAAGAAATGGATGTACATTTTCCTTAGAATAGAGTTGGATACAGCATCATTTGAACCAGAATCTAAGGGTCTTTAGTCTTTATCCTGCTGCAAGGATGAAAGGAATTCAGAGGCTGTGGAATTGCAGAAAGGGAATCATCCAGTGCCTTTTCATGATGTTTTCTTGGAAGGCAGTTTCTGGGCAGATCCACTACTCCATTCCAGAAGAGATGCACAAAGGCTCTTCCGTGGGGAATATTGCAAAGGACCTGGGAATGGATGGCAAGCAACTCCCAGACCATGGACTCCGAATTGTTTCCCCTGTAGGTATGATTCAGTACTTTTCTTTGAATGCCAACAATGGCCATTTGCAGATATCTGAGAGAATAGATAGAGAGGAAATCTGCAGAGAGGCAGAGAAATGTATGTTAAAGTTTCAGGTTCTTGTTGAAAGCAAATTGAAGCTTTATGGAATTGAAGTGGAAATTACGGATATAAATGATAATGCTCCCCACTTCCCTCTATGGGAACAGGAGCTGGAAATCAATGAGGCATCTATGCCTGGATTCCAGATCCCTCTACCCAAAGCTCAAGATCCAGATTGGGGGATAAATTCCGTGCAGAGCTATCAACTCACAGGCAGTAGCAATTTTGCTTTGCATGTGCAAACAAAAGAAAATGGTGCCAGACTTGTTGAACTTGTGTTGGAAAAGTCACTGGACCGAGAGGAACAATCAGCTTACAATTTGCTTCTCACAGCTACTGATGGAGGTGATCCTATCAGGTCTGGCACATTACAAATCCACATTGTTGTTATTGATGCAAATGACAATGCACCAGTTTTCAGCCACCCTCTCTATGAAGTGAGTATCAATGAGAATATTCCCAAGTGGTCCACACTTTTGACAGTGAGAGCAACTGATATGGATGAAGGAATCAATGGAGACATTAAATACTCTTTCCAAGAAATTACAAAGCGCGACTCCCAAATGTTTCTGTTAAATTCCACAACAGGGGAAATCATCCTTATTGGGAATCTTGATTATGAGGAATCATCTTTATATGCATTTGAGATACAAGCCAAAGATGGAGGAGGCCTGAGTGACAGATCAAAAGTTGTGATATCAGTTACAGATCTGAATGACAATGCACCTCAACTATCAGTTACCTTTGCCACCAACACCATACTTGAAAGTTCACCATCCCAAACGGTAATTGCCATATTAAATGTCCAAGACAGAGATTCAGGAATCAATGGGGAAATCACATGTTCAATCCCTAGCAACCTCCCTTTCCAGCTAAAGAAGTCCATGGATAACTTTTACAGTTTGGTGACTGATGGTGCCCTTGATAGGGAACAGGTGTCAGTCTTCAATATTACTGTCACTGTTACTGACCATGGAGTCCCCCCTCTTTCTACAGTCACAGTTATCACACTTCATGTTTTAGACACAAATGACAACCCACCCCTCTTTGAAAAAACAGACTATACTTTCTATTTTGTTGAGAATAACCAAAGAGGAGCGATGGTCTCTTCCTTAAAAGCAAATGATCTTGACTGGGAAGAAAATGCCAGAATAACATATTCCATCACTGATGACCAAAGAAGTGACTCCCGCCTCTCCTCCTACCTCTCCATTAACTCTGAGACGGGGGTTATATATGCTCTGACCTCCTTTGATTATGAAGACTTTCGAGACATTCGGTTCCGTGTAAAGGCTCAGGATGGAGGTGCTCCACCACTCAGCTCCAATGTCTCAGTGACACTCTTCATCCTTGATCAGAATGACAACGCTCCCCAAATCCTGTACCCCTCCCCTCCCACCGACGGCTCCACAGGGATAGAGCTGGCCCCTCGCTCCTCTGAGCCAGGCTACCTGGTCACTAAGGTGGTGGCCGTGGATGCGGACTCTGGCCAGAATGCCTGGCTCTCCTACCAGCTGATCAAGGCCACTGAGCCAGGGCTCTTCACTCTGGGGCTCCACACAGGAGAGATCAGGACGGCCCGCTTCTTTCTGGAGAAAGATGCCCTCAAGCAAAGCCTGGTGGTTTTAGTGAAGGACAATGGGCAGCCACCTCTCTCTGCTTCAGCCACTCTGACTGTGGTGCTGGCTGACACCATCCCTGCAGTCCTCTCAGACCTGAGCAGCATCTCAGCTCCTGTAGATCCTCCGTCTGACCTCACCTTCTACCTGGTCCTTGCAGTGGCTTTTGTCTCTTGCTTGTTCTTCACTTTCCTCCTTGTGTTATTGGCCATCAAGTTGCACAGTTGGAGAAATTCTCAGCTGCTTGAGTCAGGGAGTGTGAATTTCAGTGGCGCTCCTATCTCACAGTTTGTGGGGATTGACGGAGTCCGAGCATTTCTGCACTCCTACTGCCAGGAGGTTTCTCTCACTACAGACTCTAGAAAGGCAAATTATTCCAATACTCTGAGCAGTAAAGAAGCTTGTGAAGCGAAGGATCCAATCCTACCTGGTGAAGATTTAAACTTGAACAATGAAGGCTTAATCGTAGTCCAGGTGAGCAAACAATATTAGATTAACGTAATTTTTTGTTTTCTTAATATTAGAATATATTTCCTGTCTGCCTCTGCTTTTTCATTATATTCACAACTATGTCAGTCTTCTTTCTATTACTTTCAGCTCCCCCCTTCTTTTAGTTATTACTTTATATGTGATCCTTCTGTGAAGTATCTTCTTTCAACAAATCTTTATCTTGATGCATCAGATGATCTGTCTTTGTCTCTTACTTTGGACTGCTGGTGGAGGCTCACAGAATCTTGTGCGCATCTATAAAAAACATAGTTCACTACATATTGAAACTATCATGTATAGGAGATGTATAGGAGAAGGCTAGGCTCATCCTATTTTCATGTGCAGTAGGTGAGTTCCTGTGAGACTGATTCTAAATTGTTTAGCTTTGAATGTTGTATTTGGCTTTTATTTCATATTTTTATTACACTTCCAAATAGTGGGTGGTTTAAAAAATCTGTATCAATAAATAAGTATATAAATGCGAGCCCTCACTCGCCTTGGTGCTGATAAGTTTTAGTCATGCCGCCTCAATGAAAACCAGGGCCTAGTATCCTATGACAAGTTCTTATTCCCATCTTTCCACCAATAAGTTCTTTCCACTACATACCCAACTGCTCACCAATAAGCTGATACTGAGATTCTCATTGCCACAAGACTTTTTTTTAAAGAAAAGTAATAATGAATTTACTTAACTCTTTTATTGGCTAAGATATTTTGGCTGTTTGTATATTTTAGTATGATAAAATGAGAAGATTCAATGGTGAGGGGACTCTGGAAATATATTTACAAGCAATTGTATTGTAAGATTGGTTGCATAATGCTCCTTTGTAACTTGCAGCCTTCACCCGCTATTGAACTACAGCAGCAACAAACAAATGGTTTGGGTGGTTGTATTTTCTACTCTATTGATATTTCTAGTGTAAGGTAGAGGTAGAATTTTGAACCCCAGATAAGGTGTCATGTGTTGCCTTCTCTGTAAAATGAATGAAAACAGCTTCAGCGGAGGGTGTGTTCTTCTAGGTAGTTCCACACTCCTACAATGGGTACATCAATGGAAATGTGAGTGCAAGTTTATTTACTCCTTTGTAATGTAACTGTAAGCTGGTTTGATTCCAGAGCTCTTTGGTAAAATTTTGCTGGCATTTTTCTATTTTAAAAAATGCTATCATTGCTGGAGTAGTAAACACCCTACAATGGCAAAAATTGATGCAGTTTATGAGGTATGTGGGGTTTTTTTGTTCCTGTAAGGAAACAATGAATGGCAATGTGCTGAAATTTGGGGGAGTTGTTTGGGTGACCATATCCGGCAATGTCCTTGAAGGACTATCCTGAAGTTCTACTAATGTGTGAATTGGACAATGCAAAGTATGCTGGGAGGATGCTTGGATTCCCACAAAATTGTTTGATATTTAAGAGAAAGTGGGAATTATTTAGGGAATACAGTATTTGAACACCAGACAAAAATAGTGCTAAAAAAAGTTGCTTTTCCTTATTGTAAATACAAGTGGCAAATCCTCTTGATAACATTAATGAAATGCACACATCACTGTGTGGGTCAACCTAAAATTATCACAAGCTGAACCTCTGACGGGAATACGTATTAAAAATTCACTTGTGATAATTTCTTAATATTGTTTAGATTTTTAATGCACATTAAACATGGAAGAAAGAAGTTTGGAACTCTGGTCTCATTGACCCGCATACTGAAAAAAGCTCTTTATGGAGTGAATAACTATAAGGTCTGATCAATAATCCATTGAGGGGGGTACAACTTGAAAACAATGGTAAAGGGTAAATCAAAAGCAGTTCTCTACATTAGAAATTATATACTATGTACCATTATTGAAATGGCAAATACAGTTCCCCATGTGGACTCAGAGTGTCACTGTTGGACAACGTGGGAGCAGCCATGGCTCAGCATTTCTGAGACTCTTGGAGCAGTCTCTCTCTCTCTTAACACTTCAGCTGAGCAGAAAGGAAAAGCTTTTATTTTAAAAGCTGCTCAAGAAAGGAAAGCTCTCAGTTTCCCAAGAATCAGCTCAAAAGAACGGTATTGGTACTATCTCATATTAGTGTACTGGGAGTCTTGCAAACTATACTGAAAGAAGGAAGAAATCAGGAAATGCAATGGATGTAATGGAAGTAAAGCAAGCAGAGAGAACAAGGGAGATCACCAAGAGGCAAGTACTGTTTCTGTTCATATTCTGGTCTGTGTTCTGCTGCCAGGTAGTGTCTGAGAAGGTTCAGTATTCAGTTCCAGAGGAAGCAGAGCAGGGCTCCTTTGTGGGGAACCTTGTTAAAGATCTGGGGTTGGATGTCAGAGAGCTGTCAAAGCGCAAGCTTGGTATTTCTTCAGAAAAGCAATTCTTTGATCTGAATGAACAAAATGGCAACCTGTATGTGAATGAGAGAATAGACCGGGAAGAGATTTGTGGTAAATCATCTACTTGTGTCCTCAAATTAGAAGTTGTGGCACACAATCCTTTGAATATTTTCCACGTAAATATTTTTATCCAGGACATCAATGATAATGCTCCACATTTTCAGAATGAAAATATTGAGCTTAAATTTAGTGAATCTACTCTGCCAGGAACTCGATTTGCTCTTGGAAATGCTGAAGATGATGATATCGGAATGAACTCCCTCCAGAATTATCAATTGAGCTCAACTCCATATTTCAAACTAGAAATTCAAGCTGGCAATGATGGTGGCAAATATGCAGAATTAATATTGCAGAAACAACTGGACAGGGAAAAGGAACAGATGCACCATATGGTCCTTACAGCCATGGATGGTGGAGAACCTCCAAAAACCGGAACAGCCAAAATATTGGTAACAGTTATTGATATTAATGACAATGTCCCTGTTTTCACCCAGACAATCTATAAAGTGAGCCTGAAGGAGAGTGCACCCAAAGGAACCTCTGTGCTTCAAGTCAAAGCATCTGACAGTGATGAAGGGTCATATGCTGAGATCACTTATACTTTCAGTGACATCCCAAAAACAGCCAAGCAGAAGTTTCATCTGGATCCCAGAGACGGAACAGTTACACTCATAGAAAGTGTTGATTTTGAAGAAAGTCAATATTATGTGATGATAATTCAGGCAAGTGATGGAGGAGGCTTGGCGGCACATTGCAATGTGGAGATTGAGGTTCTTGATGAGAATGACAATGCTCCAGATGTGATCCTTACCTCCGTGTCCAGCCCAGTTCCAGAAGATGTCACTTCTGGAGCTGTGATTGCTCTCATTAAAGTTCAGGACAGGGATTCTGGGGATAACGGAGAAGTCACCTGTCACCTGAAGGAACTTGTACCATTCCTGATAGTCTCATCTTCAGATAATTACTTCAAGCTTCTCATAGATGGTGCCCTTGACAGAGAAAGGACTCCAGAGTATAATATTACAATCACAGCCACAGACAAAGGCACACCTCCACTCTCCACACACAAAACCATATCAATACAGATCTCAGATATCAATGATAACCCACCAGCCTTTGAAAAATCTTCCTACACTGCCTACGTTCCAGAAAACAACCCATCTGGAGCTTCAATTTTCCACATCAAGGCCTCTGACCCAGATCTGGATAGAAATGCCAGAATCACTTACTCCATCCTTAACAGCAACATCAAGGACTTGCCTCTGTCCTCCTATGTCTCCATTAACTCTGAGACCGGGATCATCTATGCCCAACGCTCCTTTGACTATGAGCAATTCAGGGAGTTTCAGATTCAAGTGAAGGCCCAAGATGGAGGTTCTCCACCACTCAATAGCAGTGCCACAGTGACAGTATGTGTTTTGGACCGAAATGATAACGCTCCGCAGATCCTGTACCCCTCACAATCAACAGAGGGTTCACCTTTCTTTGAGATGGTGCCTCGGTCAGCTGAGTCGGGTTATCTGGTGACGAAGGTGGTGGCCGTGGACTCTGATTCGGGACACAATGCCTGGCTCTCCTTCCATCTCCTGCAGGCCACAGAGCCCTCACTCTTCAGCATTGGCTCCCACACAGGAGAGGTGCAAACAGTCCGAGCATTACTCGAGAGAGATGCAGTGAAGCAGAGGCTGGTCATCCTGGTGAAGGACAATGGGCACCCTCCTCTCTCAGCCACCACAACTTTGAGCCTGGTGTTTGCTGAGAACTTCCAGGAGGCTCTTCCAGAAATGAACTCCCAACCAAATGACTCAGAGTATCAGTCTGATCTACAGTTTTATTTGGTATTGGCCTTGACCTTGGTGTCCTTTCTGTTCCTGGTGACGGTGATTCTGACCATTCTGATGAAGCTTCGAAGGTCAAGGAGTCCCACTTTCCTTCAGTGCTTTATTCCTGACCCCCATTCAAAGGCTGGTGCCATATTCCCACCCAATTATGAGGATGGAACTTTGCCTTATTCCTACCAGGTCTGTCTGTCCTCTGAATCCAGGAGGAATGAGTTGACATTCCTGCAGCCCACTGTCCAAATAGCAGAGAACATCCTTTGCAATGGCAACTCTGACATTTCTTTGATGGTCAGTGGAGGCAATTTAATTTCTGAAAAGGAAAATGACAGCACGGTGAGTTATATTGCATGTTCCTTATAGGGAATTTGGTGTTGTCACTTGTTTGAGAGTTTATTTGTAACGAGTGGATGTTATCAAACTGGCACTCCAGACAATTCATGCCATGTCACCAGGGAAGTAGGTATGGGGTAGTACTGAGCTGCTACTGCTGCAGATCAAGCTAATGGAATGGGCCTTCTAGCAGTTGTTGAAGGGCAAAATTGCAAGTTGGGGGGAGCCTCAGTCAGAATTATGCAGATGCACATTTGCATGCTGACTTAGGGTGAGAATCTCGGACCACAGGATGGCATAGCATGTTTGAGTGGAGACAGTGCTTATTCTTCCTTCCTTCCTTCCTTCTTTCCTTCCTTCGTAGTATGACTAAAATTGAATATGTAGCTATTTTAATGTTCTGTCTTAAAAAACCCCAGAAAAACAGACATCAAAAAATATTACATTGTATATTCTTCAAGAAGTTTGAAAATTTTCTATTTATTGGCCAACTTCTCCTTATTATTAAACTAAATATTAGGGAGTTTGTGGGGAGTTTTTTATGTGTCGTGGGGAAGGAAATAGCGGGTTGAACATCTTTTGTTGGCGGTCTGCCAACAGAGATAATTACATGGTGATTGATGATAGCCAGACATAAGTCTTGGTTCCCATATTCATTTTGGAAAAAAGAGTGAACAAGAGATTAATCTCTGGTGCTTTGAAAAAGCTGTTTTCTGTGTTCAAGAGACCAAGAAGCAGTCAGCTCCTAGGAACTTGGATGGGGGTTAAGCAACTTGAGAGCTGAGGAATTTACATCTTGCCCCAAAGCCATGAAAGAGCCGTGATGGGTATGGGATCTGCAAAAGCCTCCCTTTCTTAATTATTTTGGGACGGTTATAAATTATAACCGAGGAGATTTGTCCATCAGCTGGTGATAATTTACATTCAATGTGTGAGCTGCTTTTTGGCTTCAAGAAGAAGGGAAGGGAAATTGAACATTAAAGGGTTGAAGGCAGAACAAAATGCCTATTTTGTGGTTTGAGAGAAGAAAGTTTTATACGAACAATGGAGATCTGTGTTTTTGTATTTTTCAGATTGAGCGTATATAAATGTTCTACATTGTTAAACTGTTATATTATTAAAAATGAATAAAAATAATATTTAAAAATGACAACCATAATTTAAAGCACACAGAAAGTTTAAATCACAGCAGAATAGATTAAAACAAATTAAAACTCATACACAGTTGGGTCTGATTGGAAAAGCACAATGTATGTTATGGTGAAGCATTGATGGAAGCTGTCAGTTGTAAAACACTCCTCCAGGTCCTGTGACTGGTTATTCCTGGTTGCAGATTGAATAGAGCTCATGCACAGCCTTTGTTTGATCAATGAGTGGAGCAAGTAGTCTGTTGTCCATTGAGCATGTAGTCCATTGAGCATGTAGTCCATTGAGCATGGAATCATAGAGTTGCAAGGGACCCAAGGGTCATCTGGTCCAACCCCCTGCAATGCAGGAATCTCAGCTAGAGCATCCATGGCAGATGGCCATCCAACCTCTGCTAAAAAAAACCTCCAAGGAAGGAGAGTCCACAACTTCCCAAAGGAGACTGTCCCAATATATCACAAAAGATTAATGAAGCACTCCTAAATTCTCCAACATGTTACCTCATCCTTTCTAAAACAACTTAGCACAAGATTGTTCAAGATAATCATAGAATCATAGAGTTGGAAGAGACCACAAGGGCCATCGAGTCCAACCCCCTGCCAAGCAGGAAACACCATCAGAGCACTCCTGACATATGGTTGTCAAGCCTCTGCTTAAAGACCTCCAAAGAAGGAGACTCCTCCACACATGATATGATTGTTCTCATATCATTTCATCTGTTCACCAAGATCTTCAGTGGAGATATTCCTGGTGGTCTCATTACCTGCATCAGTACACGTTCTGGCAACCATGAGGATGGCATTCTCTGTGGCGGAACAGTCTGCCCTTTGAATTCAATAGTAATGTACAGTGCAGTGTTTTCATCAACATTTAAACACGTATCTATGTGACCAAGTATTTGCTGGCCATTGGTGTTCAACTCCACTAAATTGCTGACAACAGTATTATATACTGTACTTTATTATGCATTTTATTGCATTGAACTGGTGCTTATATGTGATATTATACCCAACCTAGATATTCTTTGAGTGTGGGACAGGGACTATATAATTATTTTAAATAAATTTAAAAATTCCCCACCTCCAAAAACCATATACTAGAAAGACAAAACACAGGAAATGAGCAATAGGGAAAACAGTGGTCCCTGTATTGACTTATATGCTGACCCAAATATGTCTGCATCATGAACCCAAAATCTCCTCCCCCTTTGCTTAACAGTCAAAAGAGCTAAGAGCATTTGCAATGTATGATTAGAAATTATAACCAATTGGAACAGTTGTGGTCATCAGTATGTATGTAGGTGAGTGTGCATGAGGCTAGTATTTCTACCTATACCATCGCCAGTCATGCTTCCATGCTGTAGTAACATAGGTGACAAATGATTATTGAGTCATAACATTGTTAGATGCCCTCTCACCTCTTTGGCTGGGAATGCTTTCCCATGGAAAGGCAATCTGGCCAGGACATACAGCTGCACACCCCTGTATCTGCTGCTTCATATACATTAATGCTGGATTGTGCCTGATGTGTCGAAAAGTTTGTTGCCAGTGCATATTCTGTAGTGAGAGATGAAGACTAATTTTGAAAGAAACTTTTATGGCATTGCTTGGTGGATCGGATGCTTGATTTTCTGTCTTCTGGGGGAAAGCATTCAGCAAATTCAGTATAGCAGTTTTAGTAGTCCTGCTGATTTTGTAGAACAAGAAGCAGAAGAGCATCAAGGTCTCCAAGAAAGATGACTGAAAACCATCTACCTCTACTGTTTAACAGGTCATCACATGCTAGTTTTTAATAATGCTTGTTCTGAGCTTGACAACTGATTGTCACACATAAGCTCATAAGCTGCCATTGAAAGTTACCCACCTGCAGTAGTGACATGCATGGTGGTGGGAAGCTGGTGAATTCACTCCACCCCCTTACACTGTTGCCTACCTGGATGGGGCAGCAGTGAGGCTGGAGTCATGTGCTTTTAACTGTGGGAACATCTAGCACGGCTGCTGGTGCATCTGCACAGCCCCAACCACACAGTTGTGTCAGCCCAGCCCTGACCAGGTAAGTCCCAGCAACAACACTAGTGTTGGAGGGTGGCTCCACAGCTCCACCCCATTGCATGTGCCACCAATCTCTTCCTGCTTCTTTTTATCTCTGTAATGTGAAGTGGTGTAGTAATAATAATTGGCTTTAATAGCATTCGTCTTGGCTTTATTTTCTTCTAGGCACAATGTGAGCAATAAATTAAGGAGAGGAGTGAAGTGCCAGAGGTAGTAAGGATGTACTGGTGGTTTACTAGTGGTGTTTCTCCATCAAGAAAAAAATCTATTGAATATTCCCTTAGAAAAGCGAGCAGAAAACATTGCTGAGAAAGATCCATAACATTTATTCCAGAATTTCCAGTAATGGGGTAGGGCAGGAACCCTAAACACCCTTGTCTTTCCTCCTGCTTTTCAATTACAGCAACAAAAGTCCTCACTCTTATTTGGCCTTAGTGGGTAAATTCTAAGGGAAAAGAGTAAAGTTATCCTAGCTATAGCTGCATATAATAGCAGTAGTACAGTGAAATGGTGTTTATTTAATTTTCAAAAGTGGTTTTTGCAGTTTGAGCTTGATCCTCTGGGTGGCACTGTTCACCAGAATGGAGGAGAAATGAGAAATCCTGCCCAGTCGAAGTTGCCTTTCCGTTAAACACAAGCACAAAATATCTGAAGGAACAAGCTGCTTGTCAGTGTAAAGAAGAAACAGAAGTGCATTTTTCTTAAAAAAATTGGATACAGCATCATTTGAACCAGAACATAAGAGCCTTTAACCTGCTGCAAGCATGAAAGGAACTCAGAGGCTGTGGAATTGCAGAAAGGGAATCTTCCAGTGCCTTTTCATGATGTTTTCTTGGAAGGCAGTTTCTGGGCAGATCCACTACTCCATTCCAGAAGAGCTGCACAAAGGCTCTTCCGTGGGGAATGTTGCAAAGGACCTGGGAATGGATGGCAAGCAGCTCCCAAACCATGGACTGCGCATTGTTTACCCTGTAGGTATGATTCAGTATTTTTCTTTGAATGCCAACAATGACCATTTGCAGATATCTGAGAGAATAGATAGAGAGGAAATTTGTGGAGAGGCAGAGAAATGTATGTTGAAGTTTCAGGTTCTTGTTGAAAGCAAATTGAAGCTTTATGGAATTGAAGTGGAAATTACAGATATAAATGATAATGCTCCCCACTTCCCTCTATGGGAACAGGAGCTGGAAATCAGTGAGGCATCTATACCTGGATTCCGAATCCCTCTTCCCAAAGCTCAAGATCCAGATTGGGGGATAAATTCCGTGCAGAGCTACCAACTCACAGGCAGTAGTCATTTTGCTTTGCATGTGGAAACAGAAGAAAATGGTGTCAGACTTGCTGAACTTGTGTTGGAAAAGTCACTGGACCGAGAGGAACAATCAGCTTACGATTTGCTTCTCACAGCTACTGATGGAGGTGATCCTATCAGGTCTGGCACATTACAAATTCACATTGTTGTCCTTGATGCAAATGACAATGCACCAGTTTTCAGCCAACCTCTCTATGAAGTGAGTGTCAGTGAGAATATGCCCAAGTGGTCCACAGTTTTGACAGCGAGAGCGACTGATATGGATGAAGGAATCTATGGAGACATTAAATACTCTTTCCAACAAATCACAAAGAGAGACTCCCAAATGTTTCTGTTAAATTCCACAACAGGTGAAATCATCCTTATTGGGAATCTTGATTATGAGGAATCATCTTTATATGCATTTGAGATACAAGCCAAAGATGGAGGAGGCCTGAGTGACAGATCAAAAGTTGTGATATCTGTTACGGATCTGAATGACAATGCACCTGAATTATCAGTTAACTTTGCTACCAACACCATTCTTGAAAGTTCACCATCCCAAACGGTAATTGCCATTTTAAATGTCCAAGATCGAGATTCAGGAATCAATGGGGAAATCACATGTTCAATCCCTAGCAACCTCCCTTTCCAGCTAAAGAAGTCTACGGATAACTTTTACAGTTTGGTGACTAATGGTGCCCTTGACAGGGAACAGGTGTCTGTCTTCAATATTACTGTCACTGTTACTGATCATGGAGTCCCCCCTCTTTCTGCAGTCACAGTTATCACACTTCATGTTTTAGACACAAATGACAACCCACCCCTCTTTGAAAAAACAGACTATACTTTCTATTTTGTTGAGAATAACCAAAGAGGAGCGATGGTCTCTTCCTTAAGAGCAAATGATCTTGACTGGGAAGAAAATGCCAGAATTACATATTCCATCACTGATGACCAAAGAAGTGACTCCCGCCTCTCCTCCTACCTTTCCATTAACTCTGAGACGGGGGTTATATATGCTCTGACCTCCTTTGATTATGAAGACTTTCGAGACATTCGGTTCCATGTAAAGGCCCAGGACGGAGGTTCCCCACCACTCAGCTCTAACGTCCAAGTGACTCTCTTCATCCTGGACCAGAATGACAATGCTCCCCAAATCCTTTACCCTTCCCCTCCCACTGATGGTTCCACAGGGATAGAGCTGGCCCCTCGCTCCTCTGAGCCAGGCTACCTGGTCACTAAGGTGGTGGCCGTGGATGCGGACTCTGGCCAGAATGCCTGGCTCTCCTACCAGCTGATCAAGGCCACCGAGCCAGGGCTCTTCACTCTGGGGCTCCACACGGGAGAGATCAGGACGGCCCGCTTCTTTCTGGAGAAAGATGCCCTCAAGCAAAGCCTGGTGGTTTTAGTGAAGGACAATGGGCAGCCACCTCTCTCTGCTTCAGCCACTCTGACTGTGGTGCTGGCTGACACCATCCCTGCAATCCTCTCAGACCTGATCAGCATCTCAGCTCCTGTAGATCCTCCGTCTGACCTCACCTTCTACCTGGTCCTTGCAGTGGCTTTTGTCTCCTGCTTGTTCTTCACTTTCCTCCTTGTGTTACTGGCCATCAAGTTGCACAGGTGGAGAAATTCTCAGCTGCTTGAGTCGGGGAGTGTGAATCTCAGTGGTGCTCCTATCTCACAGTTTGTGGGGATTGACGGAGTCCGAGCATTTCTGCACTCCTACTGCCAGGAGGTTTCTCTCACTACAGACTCTAGAAAGGCAAATTATTCCAATACTCTGAGCAGTAAAGAAGCTTGTGAAGCAAATGATCCTATCCTACCTGGTGAAGATTTAAACTTGAACAATGAAGGCTTAATCGTAGTCCAGGTGAGCAAACAATTTTAGATTAACATGATTTTTTGTTTTCTTAATATTAGAATATATTTCCCGTCTGCCTCTGCTTTCTCATTATATTCAGAACTATGTCAGTCTTCTTTCTATTACTTTCAGCTCCCCCTTCTTTTAGTTATTACTTTATATGTGATGCTTCTGTGAAGTATCTTCTTTCAACAAATCTTCATCTTGATGCATCAGATAATCTGTCTTTGTCTCTTACTTTGGACTGCTGGTGGAGGCTCACAGAATCTTGTGCACATCTATAAAAAAAACATAGTTCACTACATATTGAAACTATCATGTATAGGAGATGTATAGGAGAAGGCTAGGCTCATCCTATTTTCATGTGCAGCATGTGAGTTCCTGTGAGATTGATTCTAAATTGTTTTAGCTTTGTATGTTGTATTTGGATTTTATTTCATATTTTTATTACACTTCCAAATATTGGGTGGTTTAAAAAACCTCTATCAGTAAATAAGTATATAAATGTGAGCCCTCATCTGCCTTGGTACTGATAAGTTGTAATTATGCCGCCTCAATGAAAACTAGGGCCTAGTATCCTATGACAAGTTCTCATTCCCATCTTTCCACCAATAACCTCTTTCCACTACATACCCAACTGCCCACCAATAAGCTGATACTGAGATTCTCATTGCCACAAGACTTCTTTTTTTAAGAAAAGTAATAATGAATTTACTAAACTCTTTTATTGGCTGAGATATTTTGGCTGTTTGTATATTTTAGTATGATAAAATGAGAAGATTCAATGGTGAGGGGACTCTGGAAATATATTTACAAGCAATTGTATTGTAAGATTGGTTGCATAATGCTCCTTTGTAACTTGCAACCTTCACCCGCTATTGAACTACAGCAGCAACAAACAAATGGTTTGGGTGGTTGTATTTTCTACTCTATTGAGATTTCTAGTGTAAGGTAGAGGTAGAATTTTGAACCCCAGATAAGGTGTCATGTGTTGCCTTCTCTGTAAAATGAATGGAAACAGCTTCAGCGGACGGTGTGTTCTTCTAGGTAGTTCCACACTCCTACAATGGGTACATCAATGGAAATGTGAGTGCAAGTTTATTTACTCCTTTGTAATGTAACTGTAAGCTGGTTTGATTCCAGAGCTCTTTGGTAAAATTTTGCTGGCATTTTTCTATTTTAAAAAATGCTATCATTGCTGGAGTAGTAAACACCCTACAATGGCAAAAATTGATGCAGTTTATGAGGTATGTGGGGTTTTTTTGTTCCTGTAAGGAAACAATGAATGGCAATGTGCTGAAATTTGGGGGAGTTGTTTGGGTGACCATATCCGGCAATGTCCTTGAAGGACTATCCTGAAGTTCTACTAATGTGTGAATTGGACAATGCAAAGTATGCTGGGAGGATGCTTGGATTCCCACAAAATTGTTTGATATTTAAGAGAAAGTGGGAATTAATTAGGGATTACAGTATTTGAACACCAGGCTAAAAAAAGTTGCTTTTCCTTATTGTAAATACAAGTGGCAAATCCTCTTGATAACATTAATGAAATGCACACATCACTGTGTGGGTCAACCTAAAATTATCACAAGCTGAACCTCTGACGGGAATACGTATTAAAAATTCACTTGTGATAATTTCTTAATATTGTTTAGATTTTTTTAATGCACATTAAACATGGAAGAAAGAAGTTTGGAACTCTGGTCTCATTGACCCGCATACTGAAAAAAGCTCTTTATGGAGTGAATAACTATAAGGTCTGATCAATAATCCATTGAGGGGGGTACAACTTGAAAACAATGGTAAAGGGTAAATCAAAAGCAGTTCTCTACATTAGAAATTATATACTATGTACCATTATTGAAATGGCAAATACAGTTCCCCATGTGGACTCAGAGTGTCACTGTTGGACAACGTGGGAGCAGCCATGGCTCAGCATTTCTGAGACTCTTGGAGCAGTCTCTCTCTCTCTAACACTTCAGCTGAGCAGAAAGGAAAAGCTTTTATTTTAAAAGCTGCTCAAGAAAGGAAAGCTCTCAGTTTCCCAAGAATCAGCTCAAAAGAACGGTATTGGTACTATCTCATATTAGTGTACTGGGAGTCTTGCAAACTATACTGAAAGAAGGAAGAAATCAGGAAATGCAATGGATGTAATGGAAGTAAAGCAAGCAGAGAGAACAAGGGAGATCACCAAGAGGCAAGTACTGTTTCTGTTCATATTCTGGTCTGTGTTCTGCTGCCAGGTAGTGTCTGAGAAGGTTCAGTATTCAGTTCCAGAGGAAGCAGAGCAGGGCTCCTTTGTGGGGAACCTTGTTAAAGATCTGGGGTTGGATGTCAGAGAGCTGTCAAAGCGCAAGCTTGGTATTTCTTCAGAAAAGCAATTCTTTGATCTGAATGAACAAAATGGCAACCTGTATGTGAATGAGAGAATAGACCGGGAAGAGATTTGTGGTAAATCATCTACTTGTGTCCTCAAATTAGAAGTTGTGGCACACAATCCTTTGAATATTTTCCACGTAAATATTTTTATCCAGGACATCAATGATAATGCTCCACATTTTCAGAATGAAAATATTGAGCTTAAATTTAGTGAATCTACTCTGCCAGGAACTCGATTTGCTCTTGGAAATGCTGAAGATGATGATATCGGAATGAACTCCCTCCAGAATTATCAATTGAGCTCAACTCCATATTTCAAACTAGAAATTCAAGCTGGCAATGATGGTGGCAAATATGCAGAATTAATATTGCAGAAACAACTGGACAGGGAAAAGGAACAGATGCACCATATGGTCCTTACAGCCATGGATGGTGGAGAACCTCCAAAAACCGGAACAGCCAAAATATTGGTAACAGTTATTGATATTAATGACAATGTCCCTGTTTTCACCCAGACAATCTATAAAGTGAGCCTGAAGGAGAGTGCACCCAAAGGAACCTCTGTGCTTCAAGTCAAAGCATCTGACAGTGATGAAGGGTCATATGCTGAGATCACTTATACTTTCAGTGACATCCCAAAAACAGCCAAGCAGAAGTTTCATCTGGATCCCAGAGACGGAACAGTTACACTCATAGAAAGTGTTGATTTTGAAGAAAGTCAATATTATGTGATGATAATTCAGGCAAGTGATGGAGGAGGCTTGGCGGCACATTGCAATGTGGAGATTGAGGTTCTTGATGAGAATGACAATGCTCCAGATGTGATCCTTACCTCCGTGTCCAGCCCAGTTCCAGAAGATGTCACTTCTGGAGCTGTGATTGCTCTCATTAAAGTTCAGGACAGGGATTCTGGGGATAACGGAGAAGTCACCTGTCACCTGAAGGAACTTGTACCATTCCTGATAGTCTCATCTTCAGATAATTACTTCAAGCTTCTCATAGATGGTGCCCTTGACAGAGAAAGGACTCCAGAGTATAATATTACAATCACAGCCACAGACAAAGGCACACCTCCACTCTCCACACACAAAACCATATCAATACAGATCTCAGATATCAATGATAACCCACCAGCCTTTGAAAAATCTTCCTACACTGCCTACGTTCCAGAAAACAACCCATCTGGAGCTTCAATTTTCCACATCAAGGCCTCTGACCCAGATCTGGATAGCAATGCCAGAATCACTTACTCCATCCTTAACAGCAACATCAAGGACTTGCCTCTGTCCTCCTATGTCTCCATTAACTCTGAGACCGGGATCATCTATGCCCAACGCTCCTTTGACTATGAGCAATTCAGGGAGTTTCAGATTCAAGTGAAGGCCCAAGATGGAGGTTCTCCACCACTCAATAGCAGTGCCACAGTGACAGTATGTGTTTTGGACCGAAATGATAACGCTCCGCAGATTCTGTACCCCTCACAATCAACAGAGGGTTCACCTTTCTTTGAGATGGTGCCTCGGTCAGCTGAGTCGGGTTATCTGGTGACGAAGGTGGTGGCCGTGGACTCTGATTCGGGACACAATGCCTGGCTCTCCTTCCATCTCCTGCAGGCCACAGAGCCCTCACTCTTCAGCATTGGCTCCCACACAGGAGAGGTGCAAACAGTCCGAGCATTACTCGAGAGAGATGCAGTGAAGCAGAGGCTGGTCATCCTGGTGAAGGACAATGGGCACCCTCCTCTCTCAGCCACCACAACTTTGAGCCTGGTGTTTGCTGAGAACTTCCAGGAGGCTCTTCCAGAAATGAACTCCCAACCAAATGACTCAGAGTATCAGTCAGATCTACAGTTTTATTTGGTATTGGCCTTGACCTTGGTGTCCTTTCTGTTCCTGGTGACGGTGATTCTGACCATTCTGATGAAGCTTCGAAGGTCAAGGAGTCCCACTTTCCTTCAGTGCTTTATTCCTGACCCCCATTCAAAGGCTGGTGCCATATTCCCACCCAATTATGAGGATGGAACTTTGCCTTATTCCTACCAGGTCTGTCTGTCCTCTGAATCCAGGAGGAATGAGTTGACATTCCTGCAGCCCACTGTCCAAATAGCAGAGAACATCCTTTGCAATGGCAACTCTGACATTTCTTTGATGGTCAGTGGAGGCAATTTAATTTCTGAAAAGGAAAATGACAGCACGGTGAGTTATATTTCATGTTCCTTATAGGGAATTTGGTGTTGTCACTTGTTTGAGAGTTTATTTGTAAAGAGTGGATGTTATCAAACTGGCACTCCAGACAATTCATGCCATGTCACCAGGGAAGTAGGTATGGGGTAGTACTGAGCTGCTACTGCTGCAGATCAAGCTAATGGAATGGGCCTTCTAGCAGTTGTTGAAGGGCAAAATTGCAAGTTGGGGGGAGCCTCAGTTAGAATTATGCAGATGCACATTTGCATGCTGACTTAGGGTGAGAATCTCGGACCACAGGATGGCATAGCATGTTTGAGTGGAGACAGTGCTTATTCTTCCTTCCTTCCTTCCTTCTTTCCTTCCTTCGTAGTATGACTAAAATTGAATATGTAGCTATTTTAATGTTCTGTCTTAAAAAACCCCAGAAAAACAGACATCAAAAAATATTACATTGTATATTCTTCAAGAAGTTTGAAAATTTTCTATTTATTGGCCAACTTCTCCTTATTATTAAACTAAATATTAGGAGTTTGTGGGAGTTTTTATGTGTCGTGGGAAGGAAATAGCGGGTTGAACATCTTTTGTTGGCGGTCTGCCAACAGAGATAATTACATGGTGATTGATGATAGCCAGACATAAGTCTTGGTTCCCATATTCATTTTGGAAAAAGAGTGAACAAGAGATTAATCTCTGGTGCTTTGAAAAAGCTGTTTTCTGTGTTCAAGAGACCAAGAAGCAGTCAGCTCCTAGGAACTTGGATGGGGGTTAAGCAACTTGAGAGCTGAGGAATTTACATCTTGCCCCAAAGCCATGAAAGAGCCGTGATGGGTATGGGATCTGCAAAAGCCTCCCTTTCTTAATTATTTTTGGGACAGTTATAATTTATAACCGAGGGAGATTTGTCCATCAGCTGGTGATAATTTACATTCAATGTGTGAGCTGCTTTTTGGCTTCAAGAAGAAGGGAAGGGAAATTGAACATTAAAGGGTTGAAGGCAGAACAAAATGCCTATTTTGTGGTTTGAGAGAAGAAAGTTTTATACGAACAATGGAGATCTGTGTTTTTGTATTTTTCAGATTGAGCGTATATAAATGTTCTACATTGTTAAACCGTTATATTATTAAAAATGAATAAAAATAATATTTAAAAATGACAACCATAATTTAAAGCACACAGAAAGTTTAAATCACAGCAGAATAGATTAAAACAAATTAAAACTCATACACAGTTGGGTCTGATTGGAAAAGCACAATGTATGTTATGGTGAAGCATTGATGGAAGCTGTCAGTTGTAAAACACTCCTCAGGTCCTGTGACTGGTTATTCCTGGTTGCAGATTGAATAGAGCTCATGCACAGCCTTTGTTTGATCAATGAGTGGAGCAAGTAGTCTGTTTTCCATTGAGCATGTAGTCCATTGAGCATGTAGTCCATTGAGCATGGAATCATAGAGTTGCAAGGGACCCAAGGGTCATCTGGTCCAACCCCTGCAATGCAGGAATCTCAGCTAGAGCATCCATGGCAGATGGCCATCCAACCTCTGCTAAAAAAAACCTCCAAGGAAGGAGAGTCCACAACTTCCCAAAGGAGACTGTCCCAATATATCACAAAAGATTAATGAAGCACTCCTAAATTCTCCAACATGTTACCTCATCCTTTCTAAAACAACTTAGCACAAGATTGTTCAAGATAATCATAGAATCATAGAGTTGGAAGAGACCACAAGGGCCATCGAGTCCAACCCCCTGCCAAGCAGGAAACACCATCAGAGCACTCCTGACATATGGTTGTCAAGCCTCTGCTTAAAGACCTCCAAAGAAGGAGACTCCTCCACACATGATATGATTGTTCTCATATCATTTCATCTGTTCACCAAGATCTTCAGTGGAGATATTCCTGGTGGTCTCATTACCTGCATCAGTACACGTTCTGGCAACCATGAGGATGGCATTCTCTGTGGCGGAACAGTCTGCCCTTTTGAATTCAATAGTAATGTACAGTGCAGTGTTTTCATCAACATTTAAACACGTATCTATGTGACCAAGTATTTGCTGGCCATTGGTGTTCAACTCCACTAAATTGCTGACAACAGTATTATATACTGTACTTTATTATGCATTTTATTGCATTGAACTGGTGCTTATATGTGATATTATACCCAACCTAGATATTCTTTGAGTGTGGGACAGGGACTATATAATTATTTTAAATAAATTTAAAAATTCCCCACCTCCAAAAACCATATACTAGAAAGACAAAACACAGGAAATGAGCAATAGGGAAAACAGTGGTCCCTGTATTGACTTATATGCTGACCCAAATATGTCTGCATCATGAACCCAAAATCTCCTTCCCCCTTTGCTTAACAGTCAAAAGAGCTAAGAGCATTTGCAATGTATGATTAGAAATTATAACCAATTGGAACAGTTGTGGTCATCAGTATGTATGTAGGTGAGTGTGCATGAGGCTAGTATTTCTACCTATACCATCGCCAGTCATGCTTCCATGCTGTAGTAACATAGGTGACAAATGATTATTGAGTCATAACATTGTTAGATGCCCTCTCACCTCTTTGGCTGGGAATGCTTTCCCATGGAAAGGCAATCTGGCCAGGACATACAGCTGCACACCCCTGTATCTGCTGCTTCATATACATTAATGCTGGATTGTGCCTAATGTGTCGAAAAGTTTGTTGCCAGTGCATATTCTGTAGTGAGAGATGAAGACTAATTTTGAAAGAAACTTTTATGGCATTGCTTGGTGGATCGGATGCTTGATTTTCTGTCTTCTGGGGGAAAGCATTCAGCAAATTCAGTATAGCAGTTTTAGTAGTCCTGCTGATTTTGTAGAACAAGAAGCAGAAGAGCATCAAGGTCTCCAAGAAAGATGACTGAAAACCATCTACCTCTACTGTTTAACAGGTCATCACATGCTAGTTTTTAATAATGCTTGTTCTGAGCTTGACAACTGATTGTCACACATAAGCTCATAAGCTGCCATTGAAAGTTACCCACCTGCAGTAGTGACATGCATGGTGGTGGGAAGCTGGTGAATTCACTCCACCCCCTTACACTGTTGCCTACCTGGATGGGGCAGCAGTGAGGCTGGAGTCATGTGATTTTAACTGTGGGAACATCTAGCACGGCTGCTGGTGCATCTGCACAGCCCCAACCACACAGTTGTGTCAGCCCAGCCCTGACCAGGTAAGTCCCAGCAACAACACTAGTGTTGGAGGGTGGCTCCACAGCTCCACCCCATTGCATGTGCCACCAATCTCTTCCTGCTTCTTTTTATCTCTGTAATGTGAAGTGGTGTAGTAATAATAATTGGCTTTAATAGCATTCTGTCTTGGCTTTATTTTCTTCTAGGCACAATGTGAGCAATAAATTAAGGAGAGGAGTGAAGTGCCAGAGGTAGTAAGGATGTACTGGTGGTTTACTAGTGGTGTTTCTCCATCAAGAAAAAAATCTATTGAATATTCCCTTAGAAAAGCGAGCAGAAAACATTGCTGAGAAAGATCCATAACATTTATTCCAGAATTTCCAGTAATGGGGTAGGGCAGGAACCCTAAACACCCTTGTCTTTCCTCCTGCTTTTCAATTACAGCAACAAAAGTCCTCACTCTTATTTGGCCTTAGTGGGTAAATTCTAAGGGAAAAGAGTAAAGTTATCCTAGCTATAGCTGCATATAATAGCAGTAGTACAGTGAAATGGTGTTTATTTAATTTTCAAAAGTGGTTTTTGCAGTTTGGGCTTGATCCTCTGGGTGGCACTGTTCACCAGAATGGAGGAGAAATGAGAAATCCTGCCCAGTCGAAGTTGCCTTTCCGTTAAACACAAGCACAAAATATCTGAAGGAACAAGCTGCTTGTCAGTGTAAAGAAGAAGCAGAAGTGCATTTTTCTTTAAAAAAATTGGATACAGCATCATTTGAACCAGAACATAAGAGCCTTTAACCTGCTGCAAGCATGGAAGGAACTCAGAGGCTGTGGAATTGCAGAAAGGGAATCTTCCAGTGCCTTTTCATGATGTTTTCTTGGAAGGCAGTTTCTGGGCAGATCCACTACTCCATTCCAGAAGAGTTGCACAAAGGCTCTTCCGTGGGGAATGTTGCAAAGGACCTGGGAATGGATGGCAAGCAGCTCCCAAACCATGGACTGCGCATTGTTTACCCTGTAGGTATGATTCAGTATTTTTCTTTGAATGCCAACAATGACCATTTGCAGATATCTGAGAGAATAGATAGAGAAGACATTTGTGGAGAGGCAGAGAAATGTATGTTGAAGTTTCAGGTTCTTGTTGAAAGCAAATTGAAGCTTTATGGAATTGAAGTGGAAATTACGGATATAAATGATAATGCTCCCCACTTCCCTCTATGGGAACAGGAGCTGGAAATCAATGAGGCATCTATGCCTGGATTCCAGATCCCTCTACCCAAAGCTCAAGATCCAGATTGGGGGATAAATTCAGTGCAGAGCTATCAACTCACAGGCAGTAGCCATTTTGCTTTGCATGTGCAAACAGAAGAAAATGGTGCCAGACTTGCTGAACTTGTGTTGGAAAAATCATTGGACAGAGAGGAACAATCAGCTTACGATTTGCTCCTCACAGCTACTGATGGAGGTGATCCCATCAGATCTGGCACATTACAAATCCACATTGTTGTTATTGATGCAAATGACAATGCACCAGTTTTCAGCCAACCTCTCTATGAAGTGAGTGTCAATGAGAATATCCCCAAGTGGTCCACAGTTTTGACAGCGAGAGCCACTGATATGGATGAAGGAATCAATGGAGACATTAGATACTCTTTCCAACAAATCACAAAGAAGGACTCCCAAATGTTTCTGTTAAATTCCACAACTGGTGAAATCATCCTTATTGGGAATCTTGATTATGAGGAATCATCTTTATATGCATTTGAGATACAAGCCAAAGATGGAGGAGGCCTGAGTGACAGATCAAAAGTTGTGATATCAATTACGGATCTGAATGACAATGCACCCGAATTATCAGTTAACTTTGCCACCAACACCATACTTGAAAGTTCACCATCCCAAACGGTAATTGCCATATTAAATGTCCAAGACAGAGATTCAGGAATCAATGGGGAAATCACATGTTCAATCCCTAGCAACCTCCCTTTCCAGCTAAAGAAGTCCATGGATAACTTTTACAGTTTGGTGACTGATGGTGCCCTTGACAGGGAACAGGTGTCAGTCTTCAATATTACTGTCACTGTTACTGACCATGGAGTCCCCCCTCTTTCTGCAGTCACAGTCATCACTCTTCATGTTTTAGACACAAATGACAACCCGCCCCTCTTTGAAAAAACAGACTATACTTTCTATTTTGTTGAGAATAACCAAAGAGGAGCGATGGTCTCTTCCTTAAGAGCAAACGATCTTGACTGGGAAGAAAATGCCAGAATAACATATTCCATCACTGATGACCAAAGACGTGACTCCCGCCTCTCCTCCTACATCTCCATTAACTCTGAGACGGGGGTTATATATGCTCTGACCTCCTTTGATTATGAAGAGTTTCGAGACATTAGATTCCGTGTAAAGGCCCAAGACGGAGGTTCTCCACCACTCAGCTCCAACGTCTCAGTGACTCTCGTCATCCTGGACCAGAATGACAATGCTCCCCAAATCCTGTACCCATCTCCTCCCACTGACGGCTCCACGGGGATAGAGCTGGCCCCTCGCTCCTCGGAGCCAGGCTACCTGGTCACTAAGGTGGTGGCCGTGGATGCGGACTCTGGCCAGAATGCCTGGCTCTCCTACCAGCTGATCAAGGCCACCGAGCCAGGGCTCTTCACTCTGGGGCTCCACACGGGAGAGATCAGGACGGCCCGCTTCTTTCTGGAGAAAGATGCCCTCAAGCAAAGCCTGGTGGTTTTAGTGAAGGACAATGGGCAGCCACCTCTCTCTGCTTCAGCCACTCTGACTGTGGTGCTGGCTGACACCATCCCTGCAGTCCTCTCAGACCTGAGCAGCATCTCAGCTCCTGTAGAACCTCCGTCTGACCTCACCTTCTACCTGGTCCTTGCAGTGGCTTTTGTCTCCTGCTTGTTCCTCATCTTCCTCCTTGTGTTACTGGCCATCAAGTTGCACAGGTGGAGAAATTCTCAGCTGCTTGAGTCGGGGAGTGTGAATTTCAGTGGCGCTCCTATCTCACAGTTTGTGGGGATCGATGGAGTCCGAGCATTTCTGCACTCCTACTGCCAGGAGGTTTCTCTCACTACAGACTCTAGAAAGGCAAATTATTCCAATACTCTGAGCAATAAAGAAGCTTGTGAGGCAAAGGATCCAATCCTACCTGGTGAAGATTTAAACTTGAACAATGAAGGCTTAATCGTAGTCCAGGTGAGCAAATAATTTTAGATTAACATGATTTTTTGTTTTCTTAATATTAGAATATATTTCCTGTCTGCCTCTGCTTTTTCATTATATTCACAACTATGTCAGTCTTCTTTCTATTACTTTCAGCTCCCCCTTCTTTTAGTTATTACTTTATATGTGATCCTTCTGTGAAGTATCTTCTTTCAACAAATCTTTATCTTAATGCATCAGATGATCTGTCTTTGTCTCTTACTTTGGACTGCTGGTGGAGGCTCACAGAATCTTGTGCACATCTATAAAAAAACATAGTTCACTACATATTGAAACTATCATGTAAAGGAGATAGGGAGAAGGCTAGGCTCATCCTATTTTCATGTGCAGCAGGTGAATTCCTGATTTAATGCATTCTTAATTGTTTTAACTTAGTATGTTGTATTTGGCTTTTATTTCATATTTTTAGTACACTTCCAAATAGTGGGTGGTTTAAAAAACCTCTATCAATAAATAAGTATATAAATGTGAGCCCTCACCTGCCTTGCTACTGGTAAGTTGTAGTTATGCTGCCTCTGTGAAAACTAGGGCCAAGTATCCTATGACAAATAAGTGTTCATTCCCATCTTTCAACCAATAACCTCTTTCCACTACATACCCAACTGCCCACCAGTAAGCTGATACTGAGATTCTCATTGCTACAAGACTTCTTTTTTTTAAAGTAATAATGAATTTACTTAACCCTTTTATTGGCTGAGTTATTTTGGCTGTTGGTATATTTTAGCATGATAAAATGAGGAGATTTAATGGTGAGGGGACACTGGGAAGAAATTTACAAGCAATTGTATTGTAAGATTGGTTGCATAATGCTCGTTGTAATTTGCAATCTTCATCCGCTATTGAACTACAGCAGCAACACACAAACTTGGTTGGGGGGGTATTTTCTATTTCCAGTGTAAGGTAGGAGTAGAATTTTGAACCCCAGAGAAGGTGTCGTGTGTTGCCTTCTCCCTGTAATATGAATGAAAACAGCTTCAGCCAAAGGTGTGTTCTTCTAGGTAGTTCCACACTGCTACAATGGGTGCCACACTGGAAGTGTGACTGCAAGTTTATTTACTCCTCTGTCACATGACTGTAAGCTGTTTTGATTCCAGTGCTCTTTGGTGACATGCCGCTTGTATTTTTCTATTAATAATATGCTGTCATGGTTGGAGTTGTAAACACACTACAGTGGCAAGAATTGATGCATTTGGGGGACATTTTATGAGGCATGTGGGGGTTTTTTGTTCCCGTAAAGAAAACAATGAATGGTAACTTGCTGAAATTTGGGGAAGTTGTTTGGGTGACCATTTCTGACAATGTCCTAGAAGGACTATCCTGAAGTTCTACTAATGTGTGAATTGGACAATGAAAAGTATGCTGGGAGGATGTGGGTCAACCCAGCTGAACCTCTGATGGGAATATGTGTTAAAAAATCACGTGTGATAGTTTTTTAATATTATTTAGGTTTTTTTAATGCACATTAAACATGGAAGAAAGAAATTTGGAACTGTGGTCTCATTGACCTGCATACAGAAAAGAGTTCTTAATGGAGTGAATAACTATGAGGTCTGATCAATAATCCATTGAGGGGGGTACAACTTGAAAACAATGGTAAAGGGATAAATTAAAAGCAGTTCTCTACATTAGAAATTATATACTATGTACCATTATTGAAATGGCAAATACAGTTCCCCATGTGGACTCAGAGTGTCACTGTTGGACAACGTGGGAGCAGCCATGGCTCAGCATTTCCGAGACTCTTAGAGCAGTGTTTCTTAACACTTCAGCTGAGCAGAAAGGAAAAGCTTTTATTTTAAAAGCTGCTCAAGAAAGGAAAGCTCTCAGTTTCCCAAGAATCAGCTCAAAAGAACGGTATTAGTACTATCTCACATTAGTGTACTGGGAGTCTTGCAAACTATACTGAAAGAAGGAAGAAATCAGGAAATGCAATGGATGTGATGGAAGTAAAGCAGGCAGAGAGAAAAAGGAAGATCACCAAGAGGCAAGTACTGTTTCTGTTCATATTCTGGTCTGTGTTCTGCTGCCAGGTAGTGTCTGAGAAGGTTCAGTATTCAGTTCCAGAGGAAGCAGAGCAGGGCTCCTTTGTGGGGAACCTTGCTAAAGATCTGGGGTTGGATGTCAGAGAGCTGTCAAAGCGCAAGCTTGGTATTTCTTCAGAAAAGCAATTCTTTGAATTGAATGAACAAAATGGCAACCTGTATGTGAATGAGAGGATAGACCGGGAAGAGATTTGTGGTAAATCATCTACTTGTGTCCTCAAATTAGAAGTTGTAGCACAAAATCCTTTGAATATTTTCCACATAAATATTTTTATCCAGGACATTAATGACAATGCCCCATATTTCCGGAATGAAAATGTTGAGCTTAAATTTAGTGAATCTACTCTGCCGGGAACTCGATTTGCTCTTGGAAATGCTGAAGATGATGATATTGGAATAAACTCCCTCCAGAATTATCAATTGAGCTCAACTCCATATTTCAAACTAGAAATTCAAAACAGCAATGATGGTGGCAAATATGCAGAGTTAATATTGCAGAAACAACTGGACAGGGAAAAGGAACACACGCACCACATGGTCCTTACAGCCATGGATGGTGGAGAACCTCCAAAAACCGGAACAGTCAAAATATTGGTAACAGTTCTTGATGCTAATGACAATGCCCCTGTTTTCACCCAGACAAACTATAAAGTGAGCCTGAAGGAGAGTGCACCCAAAGGAACCTCTGTGCTTCAAGTCAAAGCATCTGACAGTGATGAAGGGTCATATGCTGAGATCACTTATACTTTCAGTGACATCTCAAAAACAGCTGAGCAGAAATTTCATCTGGATCCCAGAGATGGAACCATTGCACTCATAGAAAGTGTTGATTTTGAAGAGAGTCAATATTATGTGATGATAATTCAGGCAAGTGATGGAGGAGGATTGGCAGCACATTGCAAAGTGGAGGTTGAGGTTCTTGATGAAAATGACAATGCTCCAGATGTGATCCTTACATCCAGTGTCCAGCCCAGTTCCAGAAGATGTCACTTCTGGAGCTGTGATTGCTCTCATTAAAGTTCAGGACAGGGATTCTGGGGATAATGGAGAAGTCACCTGTCACCTGAAGGAACTTGTACCTTTCCTGATAGTCTCATCTTCGGACAATTATTTCAAGCTCCTCATAGATGGTGCCCTTGACAGAGAAAGGACTCCCGAGTATAATATTACAATCACAGCCACAGACAAAGGTTCACCTCCACTCTCCACACACAAAACCATATCAATACAGATCTCAGATATCAATGATAACCCACCAGCCTTTGAAAAATCTTCCTACACTGCCTACGTTCCAGAAAACAACCCATCTGGAGCTTCAATTTTCCACATCAAGGCCTCTGACCCAGATCTGGATCGCAATGCCAGAATCACTTACTCCATCCTTCACAGCAACATCAAGGACTTACCTCTGTCCTCCTATGTCTCCATTAACTCTGAGACCGGGATCATCTATGCTCAACGCTCCTTTGACTATGAGCAATTCAGGGAGTTTCAGATTCAAGTGAAGGCCCAAGATGGAGGTTCTCCACCACTCAATAGCAGTGCCACAGTGACAGTATGTGTTTTGGACCGAAATGATAACGCTCCGCAGATCCTGTACCCCTCACAATCAACAGAGGGCTCCCCTTTCTTTGAGATGGTGCCTCGGTCAGCTGAGTCGGGTTATCTGGTGACGAAGGTGGTGGCCGTGGACTCTGATTCGGGACACAATGCCTGGCTCTCCTTCCATCTCCTGCAGGCCACAGAGCCCTCACTCTTCAGCATTGGCTCCCACACAGGAGAGGTGCAAACAGTCCGAGCATTACTTGAGAGAGATGCAGTGAAGCAGAGGCTGGTCATCCTGGTGAAGGACAATGGGCATCCTCCTCTCTCAGCCACCACAACTTTGAGCCTGGTGTTTGCGGAGAACTTCCAGGAGGCTCTTCCAGAAATGAACTCCCAACCAAATGACTCAGAGTATCAGTCTGATCTACAGTTTTATTTGGTATTGGCCTTGACCTTGGTGTCCTTCCTGTTCCTGGTGACGGTGATTCTGACCATTCTGATGAAGCTTCGAAGGTCAAGGAGTCCCACTTTCCTTCAGTGCTTTATTCCTGACCCCCATTCAAAGGCTGGTGCCATATTCCCACCCCATTATGAGGACGGAACTTTGCCTTATTCCTACCAGGTCTGTCTGTCCTCTGAATCCAGGAAGAATGAGTTGACATTCCTGCAGCCCACTGTACAAATAGCAGAG